CAGCGAATTCAGAGATGACACAAGCTCGTATTCGGTCCGATGAACAAAGATTATCGGCAATCCTCGAATTCAGTCATATATGACCGACAGTCACATGTGACCAATTTCTGCTCACGAGATTGGGAGACTCGTTCTCTCTTCTCGACACTGAAAGAACATTCAGCAGAAGAGGGAATCCTGCTCAAAATCGCCTAAGTATGGCACCTGCTGGCGAACCGTGACAACAAGTCACTTTTCCGTGAATTTTGTCATGTATTTCAGCACGGCAGAGATTAAATTTCCTGGAGCAAGCCTTCTGAAAATGGTGAATTTGTTGGCAAACTAATATGATGTCGACGGGCAGGCGCTGTCGGCTCTTGTTGCTGCGAGGAATTAATTCACGGGGGGAGCTTCCCATTTGCAGTCGACGCATCCTACAATGTAATATATAATAAAGTAATATATTGAAACTTCTTCCCGTTCGTATGTCGTCGATGCGATGGCTCGAGGATTTCAAGGTTTTCGAGTCGTGCGCAATTATTTCCCGTCGACAGGACTGCCTCAAGACCAAGTTGGAAAACTCGCGGGTTTAAGAAATGCCTTCTGAAGTATCATCTTCGTGACCCAGTCGGACTTATTTAAATGACAGAAGCATTTGAAACACTCGAAACGGCCCGAGTTTCGAACGAACAAGGAATGATTTATTCCTTGAATTCGGGGCAATTTGAAGCAGTGGAACGGCGCGATTTTGCCTCGGTGCAAAATCCGAATAATTCCTGGAATCCCGGCTGGCACATGCACGTTTCACCGTTCCCGTCCGACGTGCATTCGGCGTTACTCACGCACTCGGTCGAGTCTGCACAATCCCCTCCGGCTGGTATTTCTGTAGAAAGGAGTTAAAGTTAAAAATGAACTGAGAACGTTTTTCTCTGTAGTTTTCCGCATTAAAAATGTGCATTCGTGTTGCCTTCGTCTGGAAGGTGACAAGAACGAGTCGGTGTTTTGGCAATAGTTGTTCCATATTTCGTTTTTCCTCTGAACGATTCGTGATGTTCACCACGGTGTTTGGGTTCAGAAATGAGGTTCCTTTCCCATATGCCGGTATAGTATTCAGTGTCGTGAAGAGCCAACGCATTTACTAGCCATCAGGTTAAGTCAGGCTATCCGTGACACATTTCTCTCTCCTTGGATATTTTTTTTTTCTCCTTCCCAGGAATCCCATGCTCTGGGACCGATGAAAGAGACACGGAAGCCCCTCGAGAGCGACAAGTCACTTACGACTGACGCGTGGAAAATCCATTAGAAAATTTTCTTTAAAATGATCCAATCGTAGCTTTTCCGGTCAGAAAACGTCGAATATCACCGCTTTTCGTCGGCCACACATTCATGATACGTCACCTGCGGTACATAAGTTCCCCTGGTGGTAAATGGGCTCCTTGCATTCATTCACTCGAGAACTTCCTCGCCGTATTCCAAATCAAATACGAAACTACTCGTCCTAATTTGACGTGCAATTCATTTCTGCAAATTTAATCTCACGACCCATTTCGTGAACTCGCTCGAGAGTATGGAAATCCTTTTCATTCACCTCACAGTTCTATAATACAGTTTGGTGGTGATAGCACGTATTGAAAATGCTACCAGTATGCTACTTGCATATAGGATGTAAACTCACTGCAATCGGCCTGCTCCTGCACGAAGCCCATCGAGCACTGGCAGGTCCAGACCCCGGCGTGTTCCAAGCAGTCGGAGTTCTCGGCCGCACACTCCAGGCCCGGGTCGCATTCTTCCCCCAGGAACGGCATCCCTGCGACAGGACTTTCGCAGATTTGGGAGTCGACCATTGGAAAGGCAAGAGCAAAAAAATAACTGACTGCAGATTTCCCCGTCTTGGACGAGCCCCTCCTCGCATTGGCACGTCTGCGAACCGGGTTCCCCGACGCATTCGGCATTTTCGGCAGTGCACGGCGCGAGTTCGGGGTGGCACGGCTCGCCCAGCCCCGGGTTCCACGCCTCTGTCGCCACGGGTGGGAATCAGAGAATCGGTAAGCAGAGATTCTTTCACCACTACTACATTTAAGAAAGTTTCGCGACGAGGAAATATGACTTAGTACATAAAACGCCTTCAATTCTGGCGATTTGAATGGACTGCGCGATCGTAATGTCATATGGCGCGATATGTTAAGAGGAAGGAAGCACAGAAATCTGATCGAAAGGCTTTCAAAATGAAAGCATACTATTCCGAAATTCACTATGCGCGCTTGTGCTAAGTCGACCAGCGAGACCGCATTCACCACACCGAACCCCACTCACCACACCGGACCCCACTCACCACACCGGACCCCACTCACCACACCGGACCCCACTCACCACAGTTTTCTCCTTCCTGCAAGAATCCTTCCATGCATTGGCACGTCGCAGAACCTGGATCCCCGACGCACTCTGCATTCTCCGTCACGCAATTCTGTAGTATCGGATCGCAAGATTCGCCCAGCCCGAGGTCATCCTCTGGCACTGCAAAACGTCCGGTGAGAGTGCCAAATTCTCCCCTTACACGATTTTTGTCAATTCGTATTTTTTGGGGGTGAACGCTTTTAGCCGCCATTTGGAATCAGCTGGTCTGGACCTCCTACGTCGCGAGTGATTGCCTCTGGGCGATGGAACTTTTAGATTTTCCATGTCTTTACCGGTCGGGAATTTCCCAGAACCTTTCCTTACAAAATGAGACTCGCCTGCCTTTCCATTTCGCATTAAGCAATTGAAATTACGCAGGAATCGATGATATTTCACTCCACAGCCACCTCGCCATGTGCCAAAGAATTTACTGCATTTTCCTCGCACACAGTTTGGAATCGCTCGTTCGTAGAACGTTGTTGCCTTCCGGGACAGACGCAGACGATCCATGCATGCCTCGAAGCACCTGGCATCCTCACTTTCCAAGTTAAAAGAAGGAATCGGGGACGAGAAGCAGCAGCTCACAAGGATGCAGCGGAGGTCGCAAATAGGCAAATGACAATGGCGAGGTCTAAGGAGATGCAACCTCCCATGGAAGTTTCCATTCTCACCCTTCACGAGCAACATACACCCTTTCCAATAGCCAAACTGATCATGCATGCACATCGGTGCAATAATGAGTCCCTGCGTGGTCTCTGCAGGATCCAGATCGTGTGATAAGAGGCTCATGATATTCAGGACCGTTATTAAGGAAAATCAGTGCAGCCATCGTGGCCGATGAGGCCGATATCGTCTCACCGAAGATCGTCGTCGAAAGAGAAGCTGAGTCCCACTCTACGACTCCATTCCGATCCAGGATCTCAAAATATTCCGCTTCGGTAATTGTGACGATCATCTGAATTCAGCTTACCTCACATGTCATACATTTGGTTATTGGCATTCCTAATTTTCCGTCTTTCATTGGACTATCCAGCATTTTAGTTCTCAAAAGATAGTTTCTCTCGAGTCAGCATCAGCTCGTGATGGCACAACACCCGCGACCGCTCAAATATATATATTTTTTAATGTTTTCAGTGGTCACTTGCTCGTTTGCGCAGTTGCGTTTGGAACCCAAAATCATTCAAGCCAAAATTAATTATTGGAATTTTTCTTTAAAAAAAAGAGTGGCGAGAATTTCGCGGATTCGCTCGATATCGTCAACTGTGGCAAACGCATATTTGCACGAGACACTGGAAAGTAGACTGTGACGAACTTATGATGACTCACCTGAACCTCGAGCCGACGTAGCTATATGAGATGGCCATGTCTGTATATACGAGGGCCACTCAATAAGTTATCTACCTGAATATGAAAGGGATGAACAACAGGCCTGTGCCTGCTGTGACATGTCTC